CCCGCCTCCCCCGCCCAGGGCCTCCACGCCCGGGCTCGGCCCTGCCGAAATCACTCCCACGGACTCGTCCCTGGATCCTGGCCAGGCAGGGGCCGTGGGGTTTTCTGGGAAACTGTGCAGGCCTGAGCTCAGTACTCAGCCTAGGAAACGAAGCACCCTCCCGGTCCTGCCCAGGGCTCATAAATACCTCTCCCTGCCCTGGCAAGTCGCGCAGAATGGCTTACAAAGGAAACCTGGGGAAGGATCTGGAGCCACAGCAGGGAGACCTCTTGAACATAAGCAGACCACGTTTATTCCCCACGGCTGGAGTCAGAGGTGAAAAATGCCCGACTTGGGCACATGCCCAACACTGAGCTGGTCCAGTAGTGGGAGTGTGAAGCTGCCCTCCCTTACTTGTTTGAAAGCCAGATGGGATTCAGTTTCCAAACTACTATACCTGGGTTCTGGCCAGGCTCACTCCTCTTCTGCCTGTTATGGCACCGAGGAGCAGGGCTTTGGGTCAGCTGGGAATCGCACTGACTCTGCAGGCCGAGGCAGTGACAATGACAGCAAGGGGTAGCCTCAGTCGCTTGGAAGAAGGTCTTGGTCAGAGGTTGGCAGGGCAGTTGGGGGTAAGCTGGGAGGGAGGGTTTTGGTTTTTAATTCTAGATCTGACACTGGTGATCCCCTGGAGAGGTTATTAAAACATTGTTAGGAGCCATCCCGTTTCTTATTCATTAGGTCTGGAGTGGGGCCCGAGAACCTGCCTTTTTAACAAGTTCCCAACACTGTGAGAACTGCTGGCCTATGGCAAGAACATGGGCTCTGAGTACTAATACTTGGGCTTAGTCCCAACTTTACCACTTGCCAGCTGTGAACCGTGGGCAATGTCACCAATTAGGAAAATCAGGACCAACTTACCCTTGGCATGGCTGTGGTTAGCATAAAATGTGCATGTTTGCAAGGCAGTTTTGCAGAGTGCTCTGTTGGAGAAGACCCTGCCCTCTGAGGTCTGAGACAGACCCAGGGCAGGATGGGGGAGCGTCACCTCCCGCTCTTCCACTCCCCCTCTATTGGTTTTTACCAGGAAAGGGGCAGAAGGAAAGGCAGCCTTGGCAGTAATAATTTGACCTCATGAGGGGACACGACCATCTGTATCAACCCCCCTGCCCAGATCATCCGCACTGGGATGGCAAAACCCTTGGGGCACATGATTCTCCAACGGCTTTTAATTTGGCCAAGTGGCACTTTAATTTGCCAAAAACTGAGGCATCTACCCAGCTTCAGGAGTTTTCAAGGGTTATTAGGGGCCCAAATTCTTTCAAAAGAATCCAGAAGCTTACCAAATCATCTAGTGGCAGCAGGGGCTGAGACCAAATTTTGAAAACTGTGGTGTCTGAAAGCTGAAGGCAACAGCCTAGACAGAAAGACTGCATCTGGAAAGTAGGACCTGGGCCCATCTCGGTGCTTCAGGAAGCCCTCAGTACAGCACTCTGCTCAGACAGCCACTTAGCTGGCTAAGGTGGAAATGCTATGGTTCCACGGATCTGCTTCCAAAGGGGCCAAAATGGAGGGACTGGCTATGAGTTGTTCATTGTTCAAGCTGGGTAACAGGTACATGGGGGTTCTTCATAACACCATTTTCTCTATTTGAGAAAACATTTCAAACAGATGTTTGAAATTTTATCTTAAATTAATTGGTTCTCAGGGTGCTCCTTGTCCCTTTCTCCTGTTTCACTTACTTCCCCTGGGCTCTAACAACTGGTGTCATCTTGAGCAAATATTTCACCCCTACAAACCGCATTGCCTCTTGTAAAATGAGGATAACTCTTAGACCAGTGCTTGGAACTCTTCTGGTTCCGTGATCTTCTCCCCCTTGATCTAGAGCAGGGGTGGCCTGACTATAGCCGGCAGATCAAATCTGCCCACTGCCTGTTTTCATAAATAAAGTTTTACTGGAGCACAGTCATGCTCGTTCCTTTATGTATTATCTATTCCCGCTTTCATGCTGTAATGGCAGAGTGAAGTAGCTGCGAGGGAATCCATATGGCCCTCAAAGCCTAGAGTATTTACTCTGACCCTCAAAGCAAGTTTGCCAACTCCTGCTTTGGGACCTTGAAGAAAGAGAGCGTGTAGCATGCCCCCTCCTTCCCACCAACATTAATAAGCCTTCTCCACTCTCCATTCATTGGGGAGAGAGTATAGGCTCCTCTGCCTATGAAAAGAGAAGTTCTAAAAAAAAGGAAGGGTTACTGGCTCAGAGCTCTCACCATTCACTTCTGGATCAAGCGTATCATCTGGTACCAACTGCCAGCAGCATGGAATTAGGTGTAAAGGATCTGCTGAATGGAGGATGTCTTAGGATCCTAAACTCTGGGGGCCCCAGGAAAAACCAACAGGAGGAAGCCTAAGACAGTCCAGACTTTGAGCAGACCAGAGAATTTCTGGAGGGGAATTGAGAGGGACCACCAACACCTGAAGCAACCGGAGGTCTTGGCCAACGTCTACCAATGGACTCAACCAGAGTTAGATACTTTATGGATAGTCAAAACGGCAAGAAATGGTCCACGTGGTTGGCAACAAGAAAGGTAAGGGGACCTACAGGGGCTGGGTGGCCACCCTACCCATCCTCATGGCTTTCTTATTCACATAAGTAAGGCACACGGTGCAGAGGACACATCTGCGTGAGAGAATGGACAGGGGAGACCAGCCCTGTGACCCCCAGGATCCTGCCAGCAGTATTCGCCCATGTTGCTTTCCAGAGCTCTGAGTCTCCGATCCGCGTGGGTGGAGAAGAATCGCAAGGGAGGCTTACAGGTGAGTTTCTCTGTTTTCTCACCCTTTACCTTGGAAAGCGGCCTTGGTCAGAGGGGGCAGTAGAGGGAGGGGTAGATTGGGAAAGAAGATGATAGTTTTCTCCAATCCCAAATCTGACTCTGAGGGGCACTGTGACCTATTCAAGTGACTGGGATCTTGAGCACTGTTTTGCTATCTGAACACCAGAGAGACTGTATCTGCCATGCCCTTCCTTCCTAAGGGCAAAGGCACCGGTGAAGCCTCTAGGGAACCAGGAACATGGCAGAAAGGTCCCAGTCATATGCAGACTAAGAAGTTTGTTGCTTCTGTGATTAAGAAACAGAGACAAGAACCCTTTCTCTAGCTTGAGAGAGAGGGAGGGAGGGAGGGAAAGAGAGAAAAGGAGAGAGAGGGAGAGATACACACCCCCACGGATGCCTTCTGGAGGCACAGCTGTGAGGAGACAGTCGGGCTCGGGGTCTGCTCTCCCCTGGGGAAGACAGAGTGGGGCCACTGGGCTGCCCTCCCCAGGGCAGCGACCTTCCCCTCTGCATGTGCTCAAGGAGGCACCGCCTGTCCATGCGGCCTGCTCAGTCCCAACTAACCAGCTTTAAGCTTAGCCAAAGCACACCTGCCACTCTCAGAGCCACTCACCTGCCATGTTGGAAATGTTAACGTTCAGCCTTTTCGAGTTACAGGGCATTTTAAGAAAGAAAAAAAAAAGGGCAATCAACTCTTGTTTTGGCAACGGTAAGGGGTGGCATTTCTTTCATACCTAAGTCAACGGTCAAAGGGGCTGGAAGTACTTCTTTCTAGACTGCTGTCCGCAGTCAGGGCCCCTGCGGCAGGAGGGCAGTGCATGTGCCAACCACTTGGGCATGTGCTTTGTGCTCCCCGCACCCTTCCTGAGCTCTTTACAAAGCACTTTACAGACAGAGCCTAAAGGAGGCATGCTGTCTCCACGTGAGGCAGACTCCATGACCGGAAATGGTGTTCTTCCGCTGGGCACCTGGGGAGGGGTGTGAACAAGCAGCCAATGGGGCAGACAAGGGCAGCTGGCAGGACTGGTCTTAGCAGACCTGGAAAAGAGCTCACGGGCAGAGGTGCTGCCCTGGGTCTTATTACTAGGCCTGCCTTGGGTATCAGTGGGACCTGAGGTGAGCTGTCACCTATGGGGGGCTCTGACATTCTCCCCAATCAAAAGGGGAGCCTACCTTGCCAAATGGACTGAAAGGCAGATTTTACTGTCAGTAAAGTGCTTTGAGGGGCTGGGGAAGTGATTGCCAGGCATCCCCAAAGTCTCTAAGAAGAAGGGCCCTGGGCCAAGTTGGGGTTCCCTGCTCTGGCCCTACTGTGAGCACCCTGCACTCTCTAGGCCACCTGAGCTAGGGGCTGCCTAGGAAATCTAAACCCTCCAGGCTGCTTGGCATCCAGACTGAGTTTAGGCTTCACTCCTGCTCACACAAGGAGGCCAATGAGACCGTAGGGTCTAAGCCACGTGGCCAAGGATCATGAACTAACCCAAACCTTTCCAAATGATCTCACCTAGAGGGCTTCAGCTGGTCTGTTAGCCCCACTTCTCCTCACTCCCTTTCCGGAGGCCCGTGGCCCTGGCACCTGGCTCCCACAGCTGCCCGCCTCCCCACAGACTCTGGATCAGGCTGGTGCTGGAGGCAAGGTTCCTCCCTTACCTCGAGAGATGGTCCCTCCAGGGGCAGGGTTGACACACATGGGTGGAAGGCGGGGTGGGGGAAGTTTGCACTGACGCTGCCTGTGCTGGGCCCGATCTGGAGAAAGAGAGAGGGCATCAGGATGGTACATTCTCACCCCTTAGTTAGAAACCCAGGACTGACTCACCCCAGAGCATATGTGAGGGGCTCTGGGCAGCAGGGTTGCTGGACGATATCTGGAGCCAGTCCCAGGTTCTGGGAACAGTGTCACCAGTGCCACACCACTGCCAGACAGTTGCCTTTTATAGATGTGATGTGTGATAGCCTTGTAGAGATCCCTCCTTGGCTCTCAAAAAAGCGCCCCAACTCTTCTGTTCCCTTAGATCCCTCTATGAGTTTAATGCCCATCCCATGCACTTCTCCCTAGCGTTAAGTTGTGAGGATGAGGCAGGACAACAGAGGAAAACCAAATAGCCATGTACCATGTAAATCCTCTGGGTTCTTCCACCTACCTGTCTTCCACTATGGTCATCATCCCTAAATCTGCTCTGGGCTCTCCCGATGGCCACTTCAGCCACCAGATCTCAAAGCACTCTTTCCCTCTAAGAACTGGGCAAGAGGGGCCAGTTGACTGTTGGGTCCTCCCTGAGAGCCAAGACCAGATCCACACTTAGCAGCCTCCTCCCTCTTTCTAAAAGTTAGTGGTTTCCATTTCAAATATCTCCATTCAGCTGGAGACTAAATACTGCCTATCGGGTGACCTTTGGAGTACATTTTAAGAAGCTGCAAAAATCTGCTTTCCATGAACTAAAATCAGGACCCCACTGAGCCTTCTATAGGTAAGAAGGACTGAGGGTCTTTAAACCCGCTAAATGGTGAAAACGTCAGAGACTCACTGGTCTGGGGAAAGGTGCAGGAGCTCTTGGCTCTCTTTGCCCCACTGGTTTTGGTTTCAAACATGAGGCAGGAGAGGAGCAGGGACACACTACCCTCCACACTTGAGAAAGAGCCTGTTCTGCTATATTGATGCCCACTTCTGTAAAGTAAGTTAGTGCCCCACAGCTGGTACACAGAAGGATGAATCAGCAAAGCACAGGAACCCCCGCTTCAAATGTAATTCTTCTAAGGTGAGGACGCGGAAAATGCAGGAGTGGAATTACAGTTCTCAGCAGGAAAAGTAAAAGCCCTTTCAGCCCTATTTTTCCAAAATTAAAATGGAGTGTCCGTAGAGAACAAAGGTGGTAGACACAATTTTCTCAACATTTCAGTAATTTTAGATTTTCATAATAAAAGCTGGGGAAGAGCAAGTCTTTGCACTCAGGTCCTCCGCCCCCACACTCCCAGCAGCGCACCCCGCAGCGCGGATCCACCCCTCCCTGCGCTGCCTGGGCCCCTGCGGCCCGTTCTCACTGCATTGCCCACGCACTTGTAGCATCCACTGAGCTGCCTGCCCCGGTGGCCACAGCGTCTTCCCAGGCACCAGTGATCATTTCTGTCCTGCTCCGGTCATAAAGCTGTGGATGTACTGCCTCAACTCTACTTTCCCACAGGCCCTCTTACATTACAGGTGTGTGCTTTTGCAGAAAACACATGTAGTAGTGTTAGAGCAGAAAGGCCTACAGGGGCGTCCGGAACAAAGGGCCTTGGATCAAGGTTTATCTTCAGCCTCTGCCTGAAGCTAAGGCTGGAATCGACCAGCTCACCCTCTCCATTCCTCTTTGAAGAGGGTTCCTAATTCATATCCAGGATGCTAGGTTTAAAAAAGAAGAAATGATTGGATGATTACTGATGATCTCATTAAACATTTTCAGTAATTGGGGTAAAGTTGTTTTAATCCCAAAACAACCTCATCGAGCCCTCTCTGACCACCACTGCTCCAGCGTTTTTCAGTTGTGTCCTGCCTGTAAAAGACTCAGCTTGCTCTTTGTGGCCTGATTCTGATGTCTTCACAGCCAAGAGACAAGACACCTGTGTTAAGGTGCTGGCAAAGGCAATAACAGGTCACCTTCCAGGTACATAAACATTCCAGTTGGGAAGTATTGACAGCTTGGTGGAATTACACAATAGCAAAGAGTTGGCACAGGGAACTGCTGTGGCCATCACCATCAGAACCACCAATGGCCCACCCCACGGAGATGGGAGGCCCCTGAGTACCAGGAAGTATCTCTGAAACAGCTGTCTCCACCCCAGTGTCCCATATGCAGCAGATGCTCCATCAAGCAGCCACACAGCGCAATGCATGCTGAGACCAACCACCACCCTCCAGCAAAACATTGGCTACAGTCTGCACCCCAAATAAATCCAACCATTCACATTTATCAAGTCTAGGGGCTGGGGACCAACCACAGCCAAGTGCTTTTCTACATCATCTCTAGTCTTCACTATACCCCTGAAAATAGGGGCTGGGAAACAGGATCGATCGGCTAACACCTTTCTACTGTTTGGGGACCAGATTCGACCCCCAGCCAGGTTGACTGGGAAGCCCCCAAGGCTCACACCACTTTACACTTCCTTCCTCTCAAGGTTCATGACACTCTAGGGAACTCATAACCTCATCATGAAGAACAAAGAAACAGAAAAACTCCATAAGAGTCCAGCTGGTGTGGCTCAGGTGGTTGAGCATGATCCTGTGAACCGAAAGGTTGCCGGTTTGATTCTTGGTCAGGGCACATACCCAAATTGTGGGTTTGATCCCTGGTCAGGGCACGTACAGAAGGCAGCCAATCGACATTTCTCCCTCTCTCTCTCTCCCTTCCTCTCTCTAAGCATGTCCTCAGGTAAGGATTAAATAAATAAATAAAGCATTAAAAATACCTCTGTAAGAGATAAATAACACTCTATATAACAATAAAAGTATTACAAGGCCATACGTGACCAAAATGCCAAGGTCATGATGCAAACCACAAGTGATTCCAGCATTCAGGAGACAAGACAGGGCACTCAGCCTTATAGTCAGGTAACTGAGAAAAGATAGGTTTCCCTGAAGTAAAATATTCACGGTAGCAATTAATGGTTTTCCCTGGGACCCTCCAAGCATCAAGTGGTTGTTGGTAAGAATACAACACTTACCTGTGTGGAGAGCAAGGCCCCAAATGAGACTGTACTAAGTCCCGGAGCTACTTAATTGCTAACACAGATTGCGAGTTTACCAGGTGTCAAGCCCTATTCTAAGCTCTTTACATGCATTAGTTCATCTGATCCTTGGAACACCCCTATGATGTGGCCCACTTAGATCTTGAGGGAATAGAGGCAGAGAGGCTCAGTCATCTGCTCTGACCTCCTCTGTGAGGGGCAGAACTGCGGCGTGAACAGGTATCTGGGTCCAGAGCTTTTGCTCAGTGAGCCTGCATTGGCTCCCTCTAAACTGGGTGCTAACAATGTCACCCTAATGGAAAGCCTCCATAGCCTAGAAAGTCAAATGACAAACGCTACAAAGGAGTTTTAGAGGCCTGGGCAAGGGGTGGCACAGGTCGTGAGCACCATGCAAGAGAAAGGCTGAGGAAAAGCTCTGGAAAGTCACTCTAAGTGATCCAAGGACAACACGGGTGAGGGTTTTCACAGCCTTCACAGCTGCCCATCACAGGGAGGAAGGGCCTGAGGCCACCAGCACAGTGACCTTCTTACCTTTTCTGAATGAGTCCAGGCTGAACATTTCTGGCCAGGAGGGAAAGCTGGAATCCTAAAAAGAAGGATGGCCGAGAGGCCATGGTTAATATTCCCAGTCCAGGAACCCCCCGAGAAGACTTCAATAACACAGAGAGCACTGTCCAGGAGACAAGGAAAACGGGGTCCATCACCGAAGAGCCCCAACTGCTGCTCCCTGTCTTGAGGATGGAAGGGCCATCTCCATGTTACAGTGATTAATTACATTTGTTTCTTTCTAATTGCGAGCTTTCTTCTTGCCTCTGTCCTACACGTCCTAGACCCTGCTCAGCAGAAGGCAATGCTTTTCATCCCGAGAGACACAGGTTTCCATCGCATCAGATACCTGCAGTGTTCCTGGGACTTCTAGGAGGAAGTGAAATTCTACATGGACCCCTTTCTCCCACAGCACCAGGAAATCGCATTGATGGCTACCTTACCTTAGGACAAACTGGTTTACTGGGCTTTCACAAAACCTCGTCATGTCTCTGGGGATGGGACGGGACTGACAGTATCAAAGAATAACTAAACAGTGATTCAAAATTAAAGCTTCTCACAGAGGAGTCTCTATGAGACGGCGAACGTTAAGTTACAGGTTCAATTGTTGGCCCTGGCCACTGTGGCTCAGTTGGCTGGAGCGTCACTCCATGTGCCAGAAGGTCATGGGTTCGATTCCGGGTCAGGGCACATACCTAGGTTGTGGGTTTTCTTTCTCTCTTTCTTCCTCCTTCTCTAAAAACAAACAAACAAACAAACAAAGTTTAATTGTTGGCAAAACATTTTGTTGCATTTTGCTCATCAGTGCATTTAACTGAGGAATCTACCTAGAGACTTGAAAAAAACAAACAAGTAGCACCTCTGGTTTAACAATTTCATTTCAGAAAGCACTCAAACTCAAAATTACAGATGTTTTTAATAATTCAGTATTCTTGGGTTGGTGCAGTATGATTATGTGGCCTTAGTTTAAAAACAGCTACACAGTGCTCCAGCAAATCATGATAGTATCAATATTCCTAGGAGTCTAATGGGACCTACGCTCCTGCTCCTGACCACCGTTCTCTCTCATTCTCAAATCACGGGGCAGTGGGGGTGGAGGGCTGACCTGGGGCCGAATCTCTCAGGTCCATAGCAGGTCTGCCCTGATGACCTCCTCTCCCCAAGAGATGCCGGAAATTTCAGCCAATGGGATATGGTAGCTCAGAGAGAAAACTTCAATACAATATCAACAATGATTCAATTTACTTTAAGAAATTACATTCCATAGGCCCCTTCTATCCAAAATAAAGGAAAAAAGGTGTAATTTGAGATTCTAATTTTAAAGAAAATCTGAATATTAAAAAATCTAAAACATCTAAGTGATTAAGAAACAATACGCTTGCTAAGAAATTATAAGCTAATTTGCTTGTAAGTAGACTTCTGGTTTTGCTTTTGAAAAGTCCCTGGTCCCCTCTATGCCAACACTAACTCACATAACATATCATAACTAACTCTACTCCAGTATCAGTCCAAAAAATATAGTATGATATTCAAGATAGGCTCTTTTTTTTAAAATTGATTTTAGAGACAGAAAGAGGAAGGAAGAGAGAGAGAGAGAGACATAGATTTGTTGTTCCACTTATTTATGCATTCATTGGTTGATTCTTGTATGCGCCCTCACTGGGGAATGAACCTGTAACCTTGGTGTATCGGGACGACACTCAGCTACCTGGCCAGGGCTCAAGATAGGATCTTTTATTAGAGATATTTTACAGAGCTCTAGAAAATTTCATTGAGATAAAAAAGAAAGCTGCCTTCCTTGTTGGAAATCTTTACGGTTCAGTGTTTCTCTTAAATAATTTAGAGGTAAGTAAAATAATATTACATCAAGTTTTCTTGCACAATGAAACACTACTTGACTCCAGGTAGAGTTGCTATGGAATGACTCAAGGATAGAGAGCTTCCATACTGACTAATTAAAAATGATACCTTCTTCCAAAACAGTCACAAATGAATTTAATACATGCCCTTTGCTTTACAGTGTGGCTGAGCATGAGACCACCACTGCTTTGTGTGCGTTAACTAAATCAACTTACCTTACCAGAGCAGTGAAAATCTCAGATTTTGTAGGCTTTTGAATTGGAGCTGAATTCTCTCCCTGCTACTCCTCATCACGAGGCTGGGCCTCCTCCTGGGAAATACAATGCTGGGTCACTAAAGAGATGGCCCTCTCGGGGAAAGAAAGTTGCTCCCGGATCAGTTAAATTCATTTACTAACTCTGACAAGGACAAGTTTTGTTAGTGGCATGAAACACACACACTGGACACACTGGCCTCACTTCAGGACCTGCAGTGACCCACTCTAGACTCACCAAATTGTGAGCTGCCCTACGTCAGCACCTCTGAGATACCAAGGGAGAGATCTCCTGGCAGAGGAGCCTGTAGTTCTGAAAGCATTTTCTCCAAGCCCAGAGCTCGGCCTGCTGTAGTTTTGAGTTCCGCTCCCATCATGACTAAGGTTCACCTAAGGCAGGTAAAGCAGCTCTTCCAGTTTGGGAAAATAACTAGAAGTTGAACACCATTTTCAGTTTACAAAGGACTTCTATGGGTGTTATCTCACTTAATCTCTACAACTACCCAGTGAGGTAGGAATTCTTTCCCAGAGGTTACACAATTTGCCCAAGATCCCACAGCTGCCTCGGGGCAGAATGTAAATCTGTAGTTAGGGACT